TACGTGGCTTCTTGAAAACATCACAGCACCCTGCCTCAGTACACCTTTTATGCTGCATTCACACACCTTAGTGTCCCGTTTTTGGAAGCTTTGGTATTTTGTATATCAGCCAATAGCGAAAGCTCTCGTTTGTTACTATGTGTTTCTGCTTCCAGCTTCTTCAGAAACGCACCAATCTCTCCAAATCGAGCTACAAAGTCATTTCAAAACTTTTGAGCTTCAGGCATTTGGCTTGAGGCAATTTGGAATGAAGAGGTGAACCATCTCCATAGAGAATTGATTTTTTTTTTTTTTTTTTTTTTTTTTTCCTTCCTGAGTGTTGTGGAGCTTCAAGCTACAAATCGCTCAGATGTAAATGCAGCCTTAAAGGGTTTGTAAGGGTTTCTCTGCAGACATCATTCATGTGCAATGGTTGCTTTGCATGTATAAGTGACTGCCCTCCAGAAGGTTTACAGATGCCACATGGTGACAATTGAATTTTTTTTTTTTTTTTTTTGAGACTGTAGAATAAGCCCTGGAAGGCTTTGTGCACACACACTGCTACAGATCCTGCATAAAAATAAAAACAAAAATTTCCGTAGTACATCACATCATACTGACATACATTCAATTGTACGTACATTGTACGTACATTCATCATTACGTACATTCATCATTACGTACATTCATCATTACGTACATATTACGTACATTCATCATTACGTACATTCATCATTACGTACATATTACGTACATTCATCATTACGTACATTCTACGTACATTCATCATTACGTACATTCTACGTACATTCATCATTACGTACATTCTACGTACATTCATCATTACGTACATTCATCATTACGTACATATTACGTACATTCATAATTACGTACATTCATCATTACGTACATTCATCATTACGTACATTCATCATTACGTACATTCATCATTACGTACATTCATCATTACGTACATATTACGTACATTCATCATTACGTACATATTACGTACATTCATCATTACGTACATTCTACGTACATTCATCATTACGTAAATTCATCATTACGTACATTCATCATTACGTACATATTACGTACATTCATAATTACGTACATTCATCATTACGTACATTCTACGTACATTCATCATTACGTACATTCATCATTACGTACATTCATCATTGCGTACATATTACGTACATTCATCATTACGTACATTCTACGTACATTCATCATTACGTACATTCATCATTACGTACATTCATCATTACGTACATTCATCATTACGTACATTCATCATTACGTACATTCATCATTACGTACATTCATCATTACGTACATATTACGTACATTCATCATTACGTACATTCATCATTACGTACATTCTACGTACATTCATCATTACGTACATTCATCATTACGTACATTCTACGTACATTCATCATTGCGTACATATTACGTACATTCATCATTACGTACATTCATCATTACGTACATATTACGTACATTCTACGTACATTCATCATTACGTACATTCATCATTACGTACATTCTACGTACATTCATCATTACGTACATTCTACGTACATTCATCATTACGTACATTCTAACTACGTACATTCATCATTACGTACATTCTACGTACATTCATCATTACGTACATTCTACGTACATTCATCATTACGTACATTCTACGTACATTCATCATTACGTACATTCTACGTACATTCATCATTACGTACATTCTACGTACATTCATCATTACGTACATTCTACGTACATTCATCATTACGTACATTCTACGTACATTCATCATTACGTACATTCTACGTACATTCATCATTACGTACATTCATCATTACGTACATTCATCATTACGTACATATTACGTACATTCATAATTACGTACATTCATCATTACGTACATTCATCATTACGTACATTCATCATTACGTACATTCATCATTACGTACATTCATCATTACGTACATATTACGTACATTCATCATTACGTACATATTACGTACATTCATCATTACGTACATTCTACGTACATTCATCATTACGTAAATTCATCATTACGTACATTCATCATTACGTACATATTACGTACATTCATAATTACGTACATTCATCATTACGTACATTCTACGTACATTCATCATTACGTACATTCATCATTACGTACATTCATCATTGCGTACATATTACGTACATTCATCATTACGTACATTCTACGTACATTCATCATTACGTACATTCATCATTACGTACATTCATCATTACGTACATTCATCATTACGTACATTCATCATTACGTACATTCATCATTACGTACATTCTACGTACATTCATCATTACGTACATTCATCATTACGTACATTCATCATTACGTACATATTACGTACATTCATCATTACGTACATTCATCATTACGTACATTCTACGTACATTCATCATTACGTACATTCATCATTACGTACATTCTACGTACATTCATCATTGCGTACATATTACGTACATTCATCATTACGTACATTCATCATTACGTACATATTACGTACATTCTACGTACATTCATCATTACGTACATTCATCATTACGTACATTCTACGTACATTCATCATTACGTACATTCTACGTACATTCATCATTACGTACATTCTACGTACATTCATCATTACGTACATTCTACGTACATTCATCATTACGTACATTCTACGTACATTCATCATTACGTACATTCTACGTACATTCATCATTACGTACATTCTACGTACATTCATCATTACGTACATTCTACGTACATTCATCATTACGTACATATTACGTACATTCATCATTACGTACATATTACGTACATATTACGTACATTCATAATTACGTACATTCATAATTACGTACATTCATCATTACGTACATTCTACGTACATTCATCATTACGTACATTCATCATTACGTACATTCATCATTACGTACATTCATCATTACGTACATTCATCATTACGTATTCATCATTACGTACATTCATCATTAACGTACATTCATCATTACGTACATTGTACGTACATTCATCATTACGTACATTCATCATTACGTACATTGTACGTACATTCATCATTACGTACATTCTACGTACATTCATCATTACGTACATTGTACGTACATTCATCATTACGTACATTCATCATTACGTACATTCATCATTACGTACATATTACGTACATTCATCATTACATACATTCATCATTGCGTACATTCTATGTACATTCAGTCGTGTACATTTGTAGGAAGTCATTCATGACGGAAGGCTGTTCTGCGTTTCTGTTTGCACAGCTAAATGCTAGAAGTCGGCTGTGTGGGTCCCACTGTATAATAGTCACAGTGGGAATCTTTGCCATGAGGGAGGTGATCTAACAGGCACCACCTAGGCCACGGGTGTCAAACTTGCGGTCCTCCAGCTGTTGCCAAACTACAAGTCCCATGAGGCATTGCAAGATTGACAGTTACAAGCATGACTAAAAGGCAGAGGCGTGATTGGACTTGTAGTTCACCAACAGCTGGAGGGCCACCAGTTTGACACCCCTGACCTAGCCATTCTTAAAAAATGCTCCCCCCACCTCCTAATGCTTATTCTGAGTAATCTGTGTAATAAAGATCTGTATCCTTGCTTATTTTTAGGCCACTGTGGTTTGGGTATGTGATCTCCCCTGTGTCAGCCAGCAGCAGCTGCAAGGGAATAGGAGCGAGCACTCTGATAACGACTAGTAAAGCCTGGAGCAGTGAAGTCACCCAGTGGCTACAACGGCACATCCTTTGTAAGTGCTCTCTCCTCTCCCCTGCAGCTGCACTGGTTGACACAGGTGAGCCGGAGTAGCCTAAAAATACGTATTTGTAATTTCAGCGATATATCGGCAGCTGAAAATTATCGGCTGAAAATAGGGTTATCTACCTGTTGCCGATAGGAACAAAAAAAAAGGTGCCAATAATGATGGACTTCAATGCAAACTCGCATCCCATTGACTTCAATGCAAAAACTCCCCTATTGTGTGTAGAGAGAGAGAGAGATGACATTTTTCAAATTGATATAATGAATTTAAATGAAAATGAATGTGTAAAATATTCAATCCTGTAACATAAAACAAAAATTGGATAGAAAAAAAATAAAATCTCTCTCTCCTCTCTCATGATATATATACACACACACACTATATATATATATAGTGTGTGTATGTATGAGATATAGATATAGATATAGATAGATAGATATATAGAGAGAGAGATTTTTTTTTTTTTTTTCTATCCAATTTTTGTTTTATGTTACAGGATTGAATATTTTACATTCATTTTCATTTAAATTCATTATATCAATTTGAAAATTTCAATTATAATACTAGATAGATAGAGAGAGATATAGAGATATATATATATATAAAATTTGGTTTTTGGTCAAGTGCTTCCTGAATTTTCGGTTTCAGTCCACAATTTCCAGTTTTGGTGCACCACTACTAGTAAGTATGTATGTCCCTTTCTTGCACAGATTAGGGCCCTTTCAAACAGGTGGACTGATTGGACCATCCATTGTTCTCGGTGGAGAGGCAGATGTAAACAAACGTGTCCATTTGCACCCACCTGCATCCAATCTGCTAAAAACAGACGGATGGGGATCCATTCCCCATCCATCTAGCAGATCGGATGACAGTTGGATGTAAACAGACAGGCGGTCCGCTTACATCCATCTGCCCCATAGAAAACAGCAGACTGTGTCCACTTACCACAAGTGGAGCTGACAAGACCAGTCATTCGCTTACTCAGTGAGGATCAGTGGACAGATCCCCCGCTGAGCAGGTGGGTCTGCTTGGGGCTGATTCCGCCCTTCTGATTATAATTTTGGGAAGGTCTGCAATATGTGGTATTGGTATATGCCCTGTTTCTTGGTTTTGATCCTGATTCTGTAAGAGTACAAAAAAAAATTACTGAAAATAATAATTTTCTTTTTTTTTTTTTTTTTAAAGGAAAAAATGGGACGTAGAAAGTCAAAGAGAAAGCCTCCACCTAAGAAGAAGACCGGGGTCCTGGAGACGCAGTTCACTTGTCCTTTCTGTAACCACGAAAAGTCCTGTGATGTCCATATGTAAGATTCTATGTTTAAATGTTGTCAGCGACTGTTTACTTATTGTTGCTAGATGATGATCAGAATAATTGTCCTGCTAGTGTGTTTGTTTTACATTGGGTGTAATAAACCATTTTCATGGCACCAGATTCCCTTATTGCACCGTACAAAGTATTAAAAGTTCCAGGGCAGTTAATATGTGACGTAATGACTAAGAAGTTCAGAAGATTAGTGCCTACAGTTTGCAAAGCATAGTGATAACAAGAGAACAGTGGGAGCGTGGGTCCTCTCCCCAGGAGCTTACCATCTAGGAAAGGCGCCTGTGTTTTTCTAATTACAGATTATACTTCTAGACAAATGTTTGTCAAAAATTGAAATACGTTGATAAGATTTCTTGCAATCCGTGAACTCTTGCAGTGCTGGAAAACATTAAACTGAGACTAATTTTCATCTGAAAAACATTACGGGGAAATTATAACACTTTTTAGGTCCATTTTATAAAAACAAAAAAAAAATAGTTACATGTGGCGCTAGGACTCCAAAACCCCTTCTGCAATCACTGCTGAGGGGAAAATAAGTAAAAAAAAAAAATGGAACAAAATTCGCCATGAATTTCATTGGAGGGGTGGGAGACTATGAAACACTATTCCATAAATTAAATGAAAATATTCCATTTTAAGAAAAAAAAGGGGGTGGAGTTTCTTGTGTGGGGGGGGTGTGTGTGTGTTTTTTTTTTTGTTTTTTTTTAAATTCTTGTTTTTGAATTAGTATTTTTGTAGCAGATCTTTACCAATAACAGGTTGCACACCTGTTCCTGCAGCCGCAACCACCCACACACGAAAAATGCAGGATCCGTATGCAGGTGCCATTAATACTAATGGCATGTCACACGCACTGGAAATCACTCCAGCACTGTACTTGGGTTTTCTGTATGGGCTGCGAGTTTCTAAAATGCTGCAGGGGCCTTTTTCCTTGCGTTTCAGGAGGCACAGGGGCTGCCATGCATGAGCAAACTGCTGCTCATAGAGCCACACAGATGTGAACCTAGGCTTGGCAAGGAACATGCATTCCACACTAATAATCATGCTAACAAAATTAGTATGTGCTGTAAATTGCCTCCAGCGTTGTTCCTGTTTCTTCTTGCCGGGGGCCGCCATTTTGCTGACTTGAGGCTGTCAGTGGATCGGCCTCTACATTTTAGTAAAGTGCCAAAAAATAGAGCACAACTGAGCATGTGCAGAGCAGGATGAGACTGTGTATTACTGGATTTTAAACAGAATGTGCAATTATTTTAAATGTTTTATGTGGCTTTACCTGCAAAAGGGGCCAGCCTGCAGTGATCTAGCAAGACTTAGTGATATTAAAAGCTCAAAAAAAAAAAAAACACATCATACTTACCTGCTCTCTGCAGTGGTTTTGCACAGAGCAGCCTGAATCCATCTCTTCTCGGGTCCCTCACCGGCGCTCCTGGCCCCTCCTTCCTGTCAGGTTCTCCCTACAGTAAGTTACTTGCTATGGGGGCACTTGCTGCTCCATGTGTCCATTCAGACACGGAGCCGTAGGCTGCCCCCTCTCTCTTCTCTTTGGCTCATTGGCTGTGATTGACCCCCAGCGGGAGCCAATGGCTCCTGCTGCTGTCTCAGCCAATGAGGAGAGGGAGTCCTAAGATTGCCGAGACTCCAGTGCACACCCCTGGATCAAGAGGGGGCTTAGGTGAGTATTGGGGGGGGGGGGGGGGGCTAGAGGAGCTGCTGCACAGAGAAGGTTTTTTACCTTCATGCATAGAATACACAAAGGTAAAAGACCTTTAGTTAGAAAACTATACTAGTTGTAAAGGCTGAAGTTCCACTTTTAAGCCTAACCTCTTGTTTTAGTATACTGTAAGTAATTTGTTTGGACTAAGCTGATCCACCAAACTATTTTCTTCACTGACACATACAGCAGCTGTCAGCATTGTATGAATCTTCGACTTTATATCGTATACATCGCTGTGTTCTGGTAGCAGGATGAGACTTCCTATCCGGCTCCTCCAAACAAAATCGAGTCAGGCTAATTGCTGCTCATCCATTCCCTGCAAGCTTTTTATTTTCTGAATGAATACAAAGCTTCCTCCGGTTTGCTGATGCTGACAGGTATGCTGACGATGTCACAATATCTGCCTCAGGCAATCAGAGGAAGTTTTGTATTCATTCAGAAAATAAAACACTTCCTCTGGATGGCTGTGCAGTACTCGGCATGACTCAGGTGGGAGAATCTGTACATGGGACAACTATTATACAGTGGGGCAAAAAAGTTTTTTTTACATATTTGGTTGTAAAATGTGGATAATTTCAAGGAATATGAATACTTTCAAGGCACTGTATGTATTGTGTGGTGTTTTTGTTGACTTGATGTTTGTTTCTTTGTGTTTTTACAGGGACAGAGCACGGAATACGGGGGTCATATCGTGTACGGTGTGCCTCGAGGAATTTCAGACCCCAATAACATGTAACCTTTACACAAAAATATTTAACAGTATTGTAAAGTTGGTAGGAGGGAACTAGTACCTACATTAATTTATCATGTGAAGCAGAGACCCAGAATAATGTGTTTTTGTCCTTGCCCTGCTTTCATGTCTTTGGGGGGTCAAAGGGGGCCATATACCTGTCACCATCCCGTCATTGCCATAGTTGTGACTGATATGAGGCACCAAATAGAATTGGTTCAAAAGAGCAGATCTATTGTTTCATTGCTAATATGGACTATGGATCTATTACCTACTGAAGGGCAGAATTGGCTGCACAAGGTGTTATGATTTATAATGGGTCTGAATATTAGAGGTTTCCATACTCTGACATAAAATCTATGTTCTGTCAGGTTTTTGCCATCTGTGTCACATTTTACTAGGTTTCCCCTCACCTTCTGTCCCACAGACGCATCAGAAAATTAGAGGAAACCTTTTTTTTTTTTGCGAGGGAAATCTCTTGGACCATATCATAACAAGTGTCTGGACTGCAAGATTTCCTGTGACAAGTCTTAATTTTTTACATTTTTTTTCATTTTTTTTTTTACCCAGGGACAAATAAAGGGGATAAATCTCAAGCCATGACACTTCAAAAAAAAAAAATTATAATATATATATAAAAATAAAATCCTGACAGGGTTCATATTTCCTCATTTCATCAAAAGTGAAGTGATACTAAGGGCTCCTCCTCCCTCCTCCCTCCTCCCTCCTCCCTCCTCCTCCGTCCCCTGGTGGTGCTCCTCGATTTCCCCCCCCCCCCCCCTGCAGAGAGCGAGCTGCTTGCTATGGGGGCACCTGTGCATGCTTGCTCCTGAGCTGGCCCTGTGTGTCCATAAGACACAGAGCCCCTGCACTCTCCTCACTGGCTGTGATTTGACAATAGCACGAGCCAATTGCTCCCACAGCTGTATCTAAGCCTTTGAGGTGTAAGAGAGAGGAGCCTTTGTTGTTCTCATCGCTGGATCGAGATTGGTTCAGGTAAAATTTAAGGAAGAGCTAGGGGAGAAAGTTGCGTACACGTGTGTTGTAGTTTTTTTTTTTTTTTTTTTGTTTTGTTTTTTTTTTTTTAACCTTCATACATAGACTGCATGAAGGTAAACCTGCCTTTACAAGCAGTAAAAAAAAAATGTCCCTTTTATTGTATTTGGATACTTCACATTATGGCAGTGCAGTTGTATTAAGGTTTTCCCAAAAAGGAATTACTAGCAAGTATAATTTTTAGATTTCCCTCTTCTTTATTCAGCCTTCGGATCCCACTCCAGACTTTTGTGTTTTTCATTATGTGCAATTGCCTCTCCTTAACTTAAAATCTCAGACCTTTCAGAACCAGTGGACGTCTACAGTGACTGGATCGATGCCTGTGAAGCTGCCAATCAGTAGCTGGCGGCCATCATTCAAGACATTGATCCTACCAATCCGCACCGGTCATCATGTCTCACTTTCACTGTACCCAGCTTCATAAGGGGAGGTCCCCTTTAGGGTTAAAGCAGTTGGGACCCTTTTATTCTGCAGATGCTAGCCAGTTACAGCCGGACACACGACATGTCTGATTAGTTGAGAAGGTGCTTTATTTTTAGGGGTTTTTTTTAACTTTGTTTTTCCTTTTTTGTTTTTTATAATGTTTGCTTTCAGTGATAGAGAAAAGAATCACAAATTTTATTTATATACAGACAATGAGCCTGGAAATGTCAGGACCCTTTTTTTTTTATGTAAAGAAAATTCAGCCTTTCATCAATTGCAAACATCAAGTATCTGGAAACATTATAGGAGGTGTGTATTATAGCAATTTAGTAATGACTGGCTGAGAATCTAAATTGTGTTCTGGAGTTGATATATAATGTTTCTGCTTGATAAGAAGATTAAATAAAGAGCACACAACTTTGTTCCTTTTCTCACTATCTGTGATGTCAGAACCCCAACTATTGTGTCACTATTGTAATGAAGATTTGGATTTTGGAATGTTCTGGAAGGACATGGCTGTTCTTGTTGCCCATGTCTGCCAAACAGATTCTCCCTTTTATTACCCCATAATGTACTTGGGAAAAAATGAACCTGGGAATTTTGTTTCCCTCAGGTATCAAGAACAGTTTGTCCCTCAACCACCTTCAAAAAAAGAAAAAAAAAATGGGCTCACAGTGGATTCAAGTGTACCTGTCATAATAAAATCCTCTGATGAAACTTATAATGGTTGCAGAAGGTACAAAAAATTTGGTTGGTGCATGGGAGTACCAGAGTGGGCAGTCCTGTGACCAAATGCTTGACTATGTTTGATCTGCTGAGCTCTGCTGCAGGAGAAGATAAGAGTTTAGAAGGGGTAGGCCAGGGATGTCAAACTGGCGGCCCTCCAGCTGTTGCGAAACTACAAGTCCCATCATGCCTCTGCCTTTGGGAGTCATGCTTGTAACTGCCAATCTTGCAATGCCTCATGGGACTTGTAGTCTGGCAACAGCTGGTTTGACACCTGTGGGGTAGGTGATCTCAGCACTTCAGCTTTTGTAGAAAGTAAAGTTCCATAAGACACTGCATGACTTTAATAGCCATGTGCCTGATTCCTGGAGGCAGGGGCATGATGGGATTTGTAGTGTCACTACAGCCAGAGTGCTGAGGTTGTCTACCCCTGGAGTAGAATGACCATAGGGGCGTTGGAAGTGATGTTCATGCAGGGCCACCAAATTAACTTCACTTCCCAGACCCCTTCAGCTGAGATCTGGTGCCATAAGTGCATGGAAGAGTAGTTTCTTCAGGATAGCAATTCTGCCATTTTCTTATCATTCTTAATGAATCAATCAGATGCATCCACAAGAAACTGCTTGGTGTATGGCTACATACAAACCGTGATGGCCATTGTCGGCCTAACAATAATTTGTGCTGGCTGAGTGGCTTCTACTATATTGCATGTGCCTGTTAATCCAGCTGCAAGTATCTGTTGATGTCTTATGGCTGGAGTCCGGTGTATGCTGCTAAATGGCCATGTGAAGGGGGGGGGGGGCGGCCGGCCCCCCTTATCCCACAAATATTTAACTCAACATCCGACTATACATCTGCTTTAAACTTTCAGAAAACTAGGCCAGTCACAAGGTAGCATTTCACCAAGATGGTCATTTTGGCAGCTTTAGTGAATTTTGGAGTCCCTAGATCATCAGAGATGGCAATTCTTCTGTTAGACTCGTTTTGGATCTGTTTGCATTACTCTAGCAGTGTAAAACTAATCACACTGGGCTCTAAATAAAAGGGGTTACGCACATCTGGTCTTTAGAACGGCATGAAATATGTTTGCTTGCACTAGAAGTGAGCAGGATTACATCCTATACATTTTACAATGCTTTCACCAGGCTTCTATGATAGAAAGGATCTTCATGCTGCGATTGAAGTGTCTGGGTAGTGGATTAATTAGGACAGATAATCCAGTCTTTGGCTGCTTTCGTGGGACTCTGATTAAAGAAGATGAGCTGGACCATAAAATGTGTCCCATTGCAACTGTACTAAATAAGACTTTAAAGCAGAACTCCAGTTGTCAATCAAAAATCCTTAATCCAGTTATTCTTTAAAAAATATATATATATATATTTAGTTTTGCAAACTACAAAAATCTATTTATCTTCCCACAGTCCCATTGGCAGCAGAAATGGCACTAACAGCGGGTGTGCCAGGGTAGGGGAAAAAAAAAAAAAAATTATTTCTGTCTGATATACCTTACAAGTCAAAATATAATCATACCACCCTTCAGTCATAGCTGCTGTTAGGTGTTAGGAACAGAGGCGGACTGACTATTTGGACTCTCGGGCACTGCCCGAGGGCCCGGAGTCAGTAGGGGGCCCCATGAGATGCCCCTGGTACCTTTTTCATAGACTTTTGAGTTTTGGCAAGGACACAGGGGCCCCCTATTGCCTGGGGGCCCCATGAGTTGTCAGTCCGCCCCTGGTTAGGAAGTCATACTGTCCCCTTCAGAGTAGTAAATAGTCATTTCTACCTCAAGTAGCAGAGCATTCCACAGCTTACCATTCGTTGAGAACTCACCAACGTGCATAGAATAATATAACTGGACTAGCCAATAACGTTTTTTTTTTAATTTGTGAAAATTTACGGTTGAAAGTATCTTAAAGGAGCAAAGCTTTGTTACCAAATTGATGTAAAAGTGTGTGTTTTTTTTTATTAAAATGGACAGAGTGACACTAAACTGATGTCGTGACTTTTGTTGCAAGGCTCAAGATCAAGTGTGTGTGTGTGTGTTGGGATTAATTTGACACAAGCCATTAACAATTTTTTGTTTTAAAGCCCTACTTCGTGCTCCACCCGCCTCATCCACCTGTGTTTATTTTTTTGCTTTTTATGTTATACAGTTTCCAGGAGTTTTAAGGCTGGGTACATGATGTTGGGGATCTTCTTTGGATCTTCTTGTGGTGGGTGTTCTTCGATGATGTAGAGTGGTGCTGATGTCATCACCTTAGTGACACTCTGGATTAATGGACTGTGAGATCAGCATGCCATGGTGATGTCCTCCACACCCTGTATGTCCTCAGTCTTCTGGATTGAACAGCACTGCGCATCATTCAGCCTGAAAGACTGAGGATATCTTTAGGTAGAGGAGAGATACTGCGGGGAACAGCACCACAGAGGAGAGCATGTATTGCAGCCCTTCTAAGGGAACATAAAGTGTTACTAATACCAGGACCCTGCATTCACTATATCCGGTCCCCCACGGACCCTGCGTTCACAATATCCGGTCCCCCACGGACCCTGCGTTCACAATATCCGGTCCCCCACGGACCCTGCGTTCACAATATCCGGTCCCCCACGGACCCTGCGTTCACAATATCCGGTCCCCCACGGACCCTGCGTTCACAATATCCGGTCCCCCACGGACCCTGCGTTCACAATATCCGGTCCCCCACGGACCCTGCGTTCACAATATCCGGTCCCCCACGGACCCTGCGTTCACAATATCCGGTCCCCCACGGACCCTGCGTTCACAATATCCGGTCCCCCCGGACCCTGCGTTCACTATATGTGGTCTCCCCCCGGACCCTGCGTTCACTATATGTGGTCTCCCCGGACCCTGCGTTCACTATATGTGGTCTCCCCGGACCCTGCATTCACTATTTCTGGTCTCCCCGTACCCTGCATTCACTATATCTGGTCTCCCACAGTACACAGAACATGGAAATGCAATTTTTTTTTTTTAGTAAATATAAACTGCTAAATACCTTTTCTCATCAGCAGAGCAGTCTTGTGACTTCTACCAGTGCCCAGCAGAGCACATGTTACAGCTTGGAGGAGTGCAGGACCCCTGACCTCTGGATAGTGCTGATTACATGCACTCTCCCAAGAAAAAAAAACAAACCTAACAATACACACTGAACTGAGCATGTGCAGATAGACTCCAAACCTCTGTTCTATCAGGAGATATTTAGGGGACAATGGAAGAAGGGGAAGATCAGGGGAAATAACCGCTTAGGTGGTCTACAGTGAGTACGACAAGCATGCTTTACTGCATATACAGGTGGATTTTACTGTTGTGGGGTTAGTACCACTTTAAAATGGGGGAAAAAATGTTGACCAGCTTAAAATAATTATGTTTAATTAGCAGATATTCACTTCACCCCAGATGTACAGTTATGTTCAAAATAATAGCAGTGTGTTGATAAAAGTGAATAAAGCTCAAAATCCTTCTAATAGCTTTTATTTCCATACACACAAATGCATTGGGAACACGACACATTCTATTCCAAATCAAAACATGAAGAAAAATAGATCAAATTTGTGTTGTTCCTCTAAAAAAAAATTGAAGAGAAGTGAATATTAGACGGTTCAAAAAATCGCAGTGTTTGTATTCTTCTTTACAAACTCAAACATTCACTATATAAACTGAGAAATGTTTGAAGATTTTGCTTTCCTTTGAATCACTTCATGAATATTTGGTTGTAGTCGCACTGTTTCTGAGAACTGCTGTACATCTGTGTTGCATGGAGTCACCCAACTTCTGGCCCCTGTGATCAGGTATTCCAGCCCAGGATGATTGGACTACATTCCACAGTTCTTCTCTATTTCTTGGTTTTGCCTCAGAAACTGCATTTTTTATGTCACCCCACACAAGTTTTCTATTGGATTAAGATCCGGAGATTGGGCTGGCCACTCCATAACGTCAATCTTGTTGGTCTGGAACCAAGATGTTGCACGTTTACTGGTGTGTTTGGGGTCGTTGTCTTGTTGGAACACCCATTTCAAGGGCATTTCCTCTTCAGCATAAGGCAGCATGACCTCTTCAAGTATTCTGATGTATTCAAACTGATCCATGATCCCTGGTATGCGATAAATAGGCCCAACACCGTAGTATGAGAAACATCCCCATATCATGATGCTTGCGCCACCATGCTTCACTG